ATGGAACCAGGTTCAAAAGATTTCGGCGAACATAGTTCACTGGAGACGTGCTACTGAAGCCCTATGTTCCATTAGGAACCCAAGGGACTAATAATATAATAAATAATAATATCGAATCGAATCATGAGATCAAGATGTAGTCAGTAATCATGTGCACGTTCGTGCAGTAGGGTCGTGTGTTACACCTATTGTGTTAGGCGAGCTGTCACTGATTAATCTAGTCGCTTGACTTCTAACATATTTGAATTTCACTCTACCTACCAGAGTCTAATCAGTTATGGATTCTGATTAACATTTGACTGAATAGTTTCAAAAAGATTAGGCACCGAAGGAAAGATTGACAGGTAAATGTAAGTTATGCAGCAGCATCAATGAAGCGAAATGTACTCACCGTTGTAGTAGGTGGCAATGAACCATACCCCTATTGTGTGAGGTTGTCCAAACCTCAGGAGATGGAGCTGGATTCAATCTGCGATCGAGTGGTTGATAATCATTTTAAACACCACTATTCGTTTGGTTCATTGTATACAAAATAAAAAGCCAAATAACTGCTGAGTTTTATTTCATCTTTCATCCGTTTTAACATCATCCTCAATTAGTGACATAAAAGGTGACGATCAACTTCTTTATGATTGATAGTGGCTAGCAATATTCTATCCTATTTAGAACTCGTCAGCTGGATGTACTTGCCGTTTACAATAGGACTGCAATTGGGGGACCAATTACTTCAATTACCAGAGCTTTATCCATTAGGCTACTGAGTTGTGATTCAGTCTACTGGTTGCCATCATCTATCATTAGTAGTAAAGGTGAAAATACCAGTAATGTCGAGGTATCTACACAGTAGCCTATATGTCAAGAGTGGTTGATCGATTCAGTTCAATCAATAACGTGGAGATTTACCAGTTATAACATGTAAACTGTGAATTTCTTTCCTTTTGGATATTATCTTGCTTTCTGTTTGTATTTAAAAGCCTCGAAAGTTTGTACAGTCAATAGAAATCACAAAAACATTGGAGCGTATAACTTCAGAGATGAATATCTGTAGGATATCTTGATCTTGTTATTAACTGGGCATATTATTTTCAAAAAGAAGGCGAATTCATGTAAAGTACATTCGCAACGTTTAATCTATTCTGTCATAAATCTAACCGGTGGTACCAGTTGAACTAGGTGAACTATGATATAATATGCCTCAAGGTGTGTTTTTTTAACTATGTGAAGCATAGCTCTAAGGAAATGTTAAGAGAGTACTACTTACCTCCGAAAAGTTTAAGACTGGATACATTGAATTAGTATCCAAGGGGCTTGTTTGTATGATGCGTATACAATGATGATAGTGGTAGTAGTATATACCATTGTAACTTAGCAGCAAAAAACCGTGATTAATCTCCAGAAAAAGGTTAGAAATGGTTAGTGGGTTTTACCAACTTCATCTCAATTAATAGAGTGATGTGAATTTATTCCTAGAAGTTAAAAGCACAATGAAAAGTGAAAGCAGCCTGTGAATATAAACCATTGTGCAATCATCATGAACAGGGATGAGCATCAAAGATTGAAGAGATGGACCAGGAAATTAATAGTAATTAGGTCGAAATATTCAATGGTTAGTGGAACTATACACATAGAAACATGGGTTTTCTATTTGCTAGCATGAAAGACTACTGGAACGATAGACGGAACCTTTAGGGGAATAGTTCATTTAACCTATATCGCCCCTTGTACACTGACAACTTACTTGGAATATTGAATTAATGTTCCCAACTCTTACAATAGTTTAAAAGTTCGTAAGTGACTTAGAAGGGGTCATGGTAGCAGGAATAGATAAGCTTTAGCCAAAGATAGTTGACAATTAGCGGTGAGATCGACTGAAGTTTTAACTGGTGAGTGTGAATCATATCCTGTTGGACTGGTCTGAATCATTGGTTATCCTAGTCTTCTAGAAAGTACGGAAATCCTTTTTTGTGATAGTCACAGCAGAATCAGTCTAGCAAACATTATGTCTGAGATCTTAGGTGCTGTAATCGTCAAATGTTGAAGTGAATCTCGGCAACAGTGAACTCAAGAAAACTGAGTAGGTCTCAGGCCTGGTCTCTAGGTGTATCGACCAAATTCTTACCTTTGACAATGTTTTGGAACGAAGGAACAAATAACCACCCGATAGTTTAGATGGTGTTCTACTCTGTCTATCGAGAGGTCTTTTGACAGTATATGTCACTGAAGATAATGCCAAGTGCATATACTACTCTAACAAATGTTCTGTATTCAAGCACCTGTAGTTGTGTTATAGCCTGTGTTGAGGTATGAGACACATCATCTTCATTGTTGATTGGTATCCCTCAGGGATATCTACTGTCACCATTTCTATTCACCTTTATCTCTGCTCTTCATAGAGTTCTCCCTCTTCTCCTCGACTTCAATGCGACTAATCTCTTCGCAGGAGACTGCGTAGTAGATTTAGACTACGTGAATTATATAGTCCTTTTACATGAAGATTCTTACAATATGCATAGTCTTATGGACTCTGAGTAACTATTTGGTATGGGTTTCTCACCACTGAAATGCAACTTATCGCTTCAGAACTGCTTTGTATTGATATCTCGTCTAACTTCAGGGGGTGATTTGGTTGAGGGCATTGACCATTTCATTCGCTTGGGAAATTGGATCGGCATTGATGAATCAATGATCGGTGAGATTTCAACACGCACACAAAAACTCGACCAACTTTTCCAACCTACTCCATTTATAGCGTCAAAAAGATATTTACTTGTCTATAAAGAGTCGAGTGTTACTGCTCAACAGTTTGCTCTGTCCTACTTTATAGCCGTGAAAAATGACCATTAAAGTTAGAGTTGGCGAACAGACTTCTCTTGGTTAGTCATACTCGCCTTTATGACAGTGACCGTTTATTATGAAATCATCGCTTTATATATCCCATGGAGCATTTGGAGGCGATGGTAGGCTGTAATTCGACTTGCTTAATGCATGCTTAACCCATCTTAGTAAATACGAGCGTATCATTTTTATTTAACAGGGCAATTAACCTTGACTCTGTCTGTTAGGTGTCCCCTTAAACTTGAGGAGCCACTTAAGGCATGAAGTAGTTACAGGGTTTTGGTTCACAAATGTCTTTGTGAGGAGTGTTGAGGTCAGGCAAAGGTTACTAAATAAGAGAGGCAAATCACTGGATCAGATTGTGAACCTTCATTGATGGAGGTAGCTTGCAAATGTGTTGCGCATGCCAAACAACAACCTACCTTAACATTCTATGGTAGCAGAAGTTGGATTACATTGGAAGAAAGTTCAGGGTGGCCAAACCAAGATGTGTCATCAGTCCATGAAGTTCTTGACTATTGTCCTGAGCCATATGAAGAGATGTAGACTAGTGCCTGGATGGAGTCCCTGAGACGAAACGGATCAGTAGTCAAGGGCTCTTGGTGACATTGCTAAAAATCGGTCTAAGTAGCGAAGATACATTCTTTGACGCCTTCTAAAGCTTGAATATTTGCACTAACCTTTATCTTTTTTGATATCATTCCTTTTCTATCCATTTATTTTTCGTATACTTCTGTGAAATGCGGTAATTTGAACGGATACAGTTGTGTGCGAGGTTCTACGTTGATTTATCTTTCTCACCCATCTATTTCTTTATTTTCATAGCGTACAAAGCGTTGATTTCAACGCTCAAATTCCAACCAGTTGGTGAACGACTACAATCTTGCCTCATCTCACAAAGTGGCAACAAATAATGGAGAATATTTGTAGCTAAGGTGGATGGTCTTGGTTGTATTGTGTTATCTGAGGAGCCGGGTTGTTTAATTGTCCTTCTAGACGACATCAGCACTGACTTCAGTATGAAGTGAGCTGTCAATATCTCTCCGTGAGTGATTTAGTGGCTTGCTTTGACGATGTGGTCTGTGATTGGTTATTTCCTTCGATTGTTGCGCCATTGGCTGTATAGACTTTCCTGTTGACTGTTCCTCTGCTTGACCTCTGACCTTTCTGTTGTTTATCATTTCTCTTGTTGGTTGGTAGATTGCGTCTATGTCTATACGTCTATTGATTACCGACTGACATGAATGCCAAGCTTCTAGGAATTCTCTGATGATATTCTTTGTATTTCCTCTCTCCATCCAACATCTCCACATTGTCAAAATTCAATTCATCTCCATAGTTGTTATCCACTTGCATTGAGCGATGAGTGATGAAATGTCGTATGTGACGTTTAATAGCCAATTGGTGTTCATGTGAGGGAAGGCGAAGACGGCGACCACTCTCTCCAGTGTAGTGTTGACTAGAGTTAATGCAGTTGATTTTGTAATCGATATTCAGTTTGCCTTCTTTCCTTGTTGCATCCTTTGGTTTCCATAACAATGTTTGAGGGGGAAGGGGGTTTGTTCGTTTATGCGCCACACCAATTCCACCGAGTGGTCTCAGTAATCTTGTCGTGATTTCTGATATTTTTTTGTATGTACGGTAGGGTGATGCGTTTGTTGATTTCTGTCGATGACTGTAGTTGATGATGCGCAAGAATTCCTAGAAGCTTTGGATTCCGATTAGTCAGCAATCAACAGATGTAAAGACATGGATCCAATCTGTTAACCAATAAGAAAAATGATAAACGACAGGAAGGTGAGAGGTCAAGCAGAGGAACAGTCAACAGGAAAGTCTATATAGTCAGTCATACAATAATCGAGGGAAACAACCAATCATGGACTACATCGTCAGAGCAAGCCACTTAATCACTCACAGAGAGATAATGGCAGCTCACTTCATAGTGAAGTTAGTGGTGATGACGTCACTGTCTAGAAAGACGATGAAAGCTTTTGCATGATTAAACAACCCAACTCCTCAGAGAACACAATACAATCAAGAAAATGGCAACAGTTAGATAGTGTTAAATCTCTCATACATTAGGAGTATATTCTATAGCCTATGACACAACCATGCACACAATCGATATGTTGAACTGTTATCTTATTCTTCCTTTATACCTACAGAATGCTCGATGAAGGATTCCAATCAGCTTCATTAACATCTGAAATTGCTCAAAGCTCATCATATAATCGTGCTGTGGATTTGGAGATAGGAAATGATTTAAGTTCTGGTGTTGTATTCTCAGCAGATTTTCATAAGTAAGTATTCTACTGTAGTAGTAGTATATGCCTAATACATTTATTCATTTGAAATGTTTCACAAACTTGATCTGTATTGCAACTTAATACTTCAAGTATTCATTCAATAAAAAGCATATCATTTGTGATGATATCCTTTCTCAAGGAGTTCAATCAATCAATGTGAACATAGGAACAGGCATTACTGCGTAACCGTCCGAGTTGCCACACGTTATATTAGTACATGAAGTAGAAAGGTAGTGAGGTGAAGGATGAAGATAAGAGAATGCAGTCAAAAGAAATATAAAGTGTGAAGAGAAAGAAAGGAAGAATGAGAAAATGGTGAGAGTCAGTATAGTGTCGTTAAGATGAGGATAATGTATGTGGAGATACATCTGCGCCACTGACATGGGTTGTGAGCCATAATCCCTGGAGTCTGTCTCGAACCACTGGTTCTTGTTGTCACGTGGACCCCAACCACCTAGTGTACATCGTCGTACATGGCTGAAACAAACAGTCAGAGACTTCATACATTGATGCCATGTTTCAGTCTGGCCCCCTCGGTGGGCCTTTTTCCAACCTGGACCTACTTCATTCAACATTGTGTGACGAGGCAACCGGTGACTGGGCATACGTAGTACGTGTCCCAGCCAACCATCTCAATCGATGATGGTTCATAACCTCGTCTACCGATTTACCTCTTCTCCTTAAAACTCTACACCTAACTTCAGTATTACTCACGTGGTGTGGTGATACCAGGGAATACGGCGTATACTGGGAATTCGATGGTGGTCAAACACTTGAAGCCTTATTATATCTTCGAGTTTCAATGGCCATGTTTCACAGCCATACAGTAGAATAGTGACAAGGACATATGCTGCGCACGTTGACCCATTGCCTATCTCAATGTTCAATGTTAACAGAAGTTGGGCTAGGTTAAAAGTGAGTTCAAGTTGGCTAGACCGTTGACTTCGGATCTGACCCGTGTAGATAGAGGTGTAGACTACCTGAATGGGGTGCCTAAGACAACAGAAGTCAGTGGTTGAAAATAGTGGAGAAGCTAATAATACTTGTGCTCAAACCTTCGTTGAAGGCTTTCGAAGCCCCTAATCAATTTGCATATATTAGGCAGATGAAGCACTCTGGATACCACGATTGTCTTATATCACAATATTACTTATAATCTTGATAAAAATATACCAAGTATGTCAGGTATACCTTTTTACATTGTACGTCGGCATTTGATTCTGTCCCAAGACCTCCTTTGCTGGACACGCTAGATGAGATAAATACTGAGTCCTGGATAATCACCTTACTGTTTTCCTATTCCTCTGAAAGAAAACAATTTACTATTCACAGACGGATACGGTCTAAATCATTACTTACTGTGGCTGGTGTTCCTCAAGGAGCCTTCCTTTCCGTCTATCTTTTCGCATTTTTTCTTCATAACCTACGATCTTCAACGAGTACTATCTTCAACAAATATACTGATTACCTGACAGTTTCCATACTTGAGCTGTCTCCTCTTCAACAGATTGTTCCTAAGTGAATAATTTCCTTTCTATCTACTGTTAGACGATGGTCCTCCATCATTGGTCGTATGGTTAATTCTTCAAAATGTTCGACCATAAACTTTAGTTATGCACGTGAACATGGTTTATGGAAACAGCTTAGTTCTCATTATTCCTGTTCGATTGATAGTTGTGGATTAGAGGATGTTACAAGTATGATTTATCTAGACGTGTGTGTGTGTGTGTTTCTTCAAAGCCTACCAGACAACTTGAGAACAGATGTGTTACTAAGCGTCTACCTTCATGGTTGACAAAGGGACAGATAAAATCCATTGGAAGTTCTGTTCTGTCGCATCTTGTTGATAGTGTGGTCACTTGATAGTGAAGGACAATCCTTTCAAGATCATTCAGCATATACCAGACAATCTTTAGAATGGTATTCTAACTCGTCTCTTACAATACATCTCAGAAGCTGTGGAAATTTGAGCTAATAATCGTAGTTTTCTTCATATCAAGAAGAAGTTTGCAAACACCTTATCTCTCCCTTTGCCAGGAAATACTTAATAAACGATTATATCGTTTGGATTTTTCCTCTTTTCTGTTGATACTCGTCACCACCCCCCCCTACCTAAGTCAAGGACTCCAGGCGAATATCCAAAATTCTTTTTCGACTTCACTTCTTAACTCTCCGTTCTTGAAAATAATTGAGAAGATAATAAAACCTGTGCTGGAACCCTCATTGAAGGCTTTCGGAGACCCTAATCAACTTGCATATATTAGGCAGATGAAGCACTCTAGATACGACGATTGTCTTAGATCACAATATTGCTTATCATGTTTGTAGAATTGGCCTTTTTAGACTATACTTCAGCATTTGATTGTGTCTCAAGACCTCCTTTACTGGACACGCTAGACGAGATAAGTACTGAGTCGTGGATAATCACATTACTGTTTTGCTGTTTCTCTGAAAGGAAACAATATACTGTTCACAGAGAAGTACCGTATCCCATTGCTTACTGTGACTGGTGTTCTCCAAAGAAGCATTTTTTCCCTATGTCTTTTCTCTTTCTTTCTGTATGAGTTACCATCTTCAGTTAGTATTAATTTTATCGAATATGCCGATAAACTGAGATTTCCTATATGTGACCTGTCTCCTTTTCAACAGATTGTTCCCAACTGTATGATTTCCTATCTACTGTAAGACGATGGTTGGGACGTGTTACGTATGCTCAGTCACCGGTTGCCTCGTCACACAATCTTGGTCGAAGTAGGTCCAGGCTGGAAAAAGGCCCACCGAGGGGGCCAGACTAAAACATGGCATCAATGTATGAAGTCTCTGACTGTTTGTTTCAGCCATGTACGACGATGTAGACTAGGTGGTTGGAGTCCACGTGACAACAGGAACCAGTGGTTGGAGACAGACTCTGAGTGATGACATGGCTGAGAACCGATGTCAGTGGCTCAGATGTATCTCCACACACATTATCCTCATTCTTCCTTTCTCTCTTTTAGTACTTTATATACTGATATGAGGTGTGGCGGCAACTCGGGCTTTTAGGCAATAATGCCTGGTCCTGTGTTGATGGATGATGGGTTACTGACAAAAGACTATGCTATATTGTGTAGAACTTTGAAGATTGTCAGCAGAACTAATAATGTACCTCTAAACCTTTCAACTGACATTGTTGTGGATAAACATCTTAATCCATGTAGACATCTGGCAGAAGTTAATTTATCAGATGACCAGCGATTTTCTCACTCGAAGCTTTCTGTGTGTCGGTCATCTAGAAAGACAAGGAGCAAGTACATATGACTTTATACATGTACTACAATATATAAACAACTCTACAATACCATTGTGTATTTAACTCGTCTACTGTGCAATAGAGAAAGTATTAGAAATGAACTAACTAATCAACTTGTGTTTTTGTTCTAATGCCAACTAATTGATGAGTACATAGTATGTAACTAATTATGTATTATGAAGCTAATTACTAATATGATTGTCTACCTAGATTGATTTTGCACTTTGAAGAAAGTTGTTTTGTATAAAGTGAATATTCTTATCTTTTATGCATAATTTCTACTTATTTCATCTTACTATGTATACATATAGACTATCTCTATCTTCAATTGATGCTATATAACATGCTGAAATATTCTGTATAGTATTCCTGGAATAACTTTCAGAATAAAACCAATATTATTATTGTTATTACTATTACTATACATATACTATAACCAGGTTACTATCTGAGAAAAGAGATCAACACAGATGAAACCAATAAAATATGATGAAAGAAATCTAATTACCAAAGAAGAGAAACAAAGGAAACGATGAGCTGACCACTTCAAAAAGCTCTTGAATCGATGGCCACCTGCAGCCACAGAACTGCCAATGAACACAAGCCTTCCGACGAAAGTCGAAGTCCTGAACGCCATTATGCTACTGAAATGCAGGAAAGCAGCAGGACCAGATTGAATCCCACCAGAAGCACTGTGAGCAGTTGCAGAGACAACAGCAGACATACTCACACCACTATTGAAGAAGGTCTGGAAACAAAGAAGGAAAGGTACCTGCCAGTTGATTGTAAGGAAGGGCTACCTTGTCAAACTCTGGAAGAAGGGCGACCTAAGTCTTTGCAAAAACTGGCGAGAAAACATGCTGCTGTCCACCTCAAGCAAAATATTATGCGGTATCATCGTGGAGAGACTAAAAGATGCACTGGATTTAAAACTACGACCGGAATAGGCAGTCTGGATTCAGGAAGTACAAATCATGTGCGGATCAAATTGCAACGCTACACTACACATCATCATAGAAGAGAGTATAAAATGGCAGTCAACTGTACCTTTACCTCAACTTCATTGATTTTTAGAAGGCCTTTGACAGCGTCGACCGAGAAGCAATTTGCAAGCTGCTTCAACACTACAGAGTTAGTACCACAGACCTTTATCAATGTCATTGAACAACTATATGGAGATGCGACATGCCAAGTAATTCACAACACAATGGGAAGCTCAGTGATGTCTTCGAAGTGAAGTGAAGTGAAGACAGGAGTAAGACTAGACAAGGCTGTTTACTATCACCGATCATCTTCCTGATTGTGGTGGACTGGATCATGCAGCAGACAGTGAGGAGCGAGAAGAGGGTGATACACTGGACTGCAGAGAAGAACCTAGAAGATTTGTATTTCGTCGATGACTTGTGTCTGATGTCACACAAACTCAAAGATCTACCAGGGGAAAAATAACAAGTTGACATAAGAGGCAGGGCAGGGCAGGGTAGGGCAGCGAAGATGAGACTTTAAGTAAATGTAGAGAAGACAGAGATGATGAAGATACCCAACCAAAAACAGCATCAACAACAAGCACCAATCACCATAAACGAGAGAAACCTAATGGAAGTAGTGTCTTTCACATACCCAAGCAGCATCGTTTTTCAACTAGAGGTCACGCAAGTGTAGATGAGGATGTCAAAATCAGCCAGGATCGGAAAAGCAAGACGGGCGTTCATTTACGTGAAAGCAGTGTGGAGATCTTTTGCACTCAGCATGTGGAACAAGATCCGGGTTTTCAACACCAACGTCAAATCAGTGCTTCTGTATGGTTCAGAGACTTGGCGCGTTACGAAAGGGATTTCCAACGAACTACAGATATTCATCAGCATTTGCCTACACTGGTTCGTTACTGAAGATCAGATGAATGTCAAGAAAGAATAAGCAACAAGGAGCTCTGGGAACGAATTAACGAAGAAGCTATTGCTCAAATATGCACTGGAAGGGAGTGAAGATGGATTGGGCATACACTGAGAAGGTCGATTGGGGACATCCTGCGTCAGGCCAGTTGCTCGAGTGGAACCCCGATGAGAAGCAACAAGTTGGGCGTCCGAGGCGACGGTGACATAGAGGAGATCATGCGAGGAGGAAATGAGAGTTTGTGGGCCGTTATGGAGCCAGGTTGAAAAGATTTCAGAGAATATAGCGCATTGGAGACGTGTTACTGAAGCCCTATGTTCCATTAGGAACCCAAGAGCCAAGTAATAATAAGAAGTAGTATTAAGCAGAGGCTAGACAGGGCTAAGCTAGTACTTCCAATCATCACCATCAAACAGATGTTGCAGCAATCAGAAAAAGACATGACTTCAATCCTTGACACATCTAACTGTGTATATATCAATTTGATTATACTTATAGGAGCAAGTACATAGATCATACAGAAAGGTGTCTGTCTACTCGCATGATTGAGTATTTATCTAAATAGTTAAGGTAAACCGAATCAAAAATCTTATGGAGTTCGACATGATTTTAACGCTACTAAGACGTAGGTTGTCAGCAGACAGAGGTATAAGAAAATGTATGCGATCTTGAAAGCATGCATGATTAGAGTTCGTCAACCAAGCCTATATGTACAGAAGAAGATGGTAGTCGCCTTCAATCTATCATGGTAAAGGTGGTTTTATTACTGTCTTGTTTCTTGCATTTTATTTCTCCGACTACTTCGTATATTTACCTCGTCACTATCTTTATTTTGCTGTACTGTCATTTCCTCTTTGTGATCACTGGTTCGAATCCGGGTGTGGTCGAAATTTTCATTTCACCTTGAATCATCGCCGAGGATGAGTATTCGTCTATCAATTCACGATTATTATCTAAGATAGTCAGAATGACAATCCATATGATGCTCCCCTGCCTAGTTATAATTCAGTTATATTTGGATTTGGATGAGAAGTCATGACTAGACATGGCAGCGAATGTGAATGGGATGAAGCGATAGTAAGGAGTGATGAATTAACATAGTATTGGAATGGAACCTTTGGTGATTGAAGTTAAATTGGAAGGAAGAATGTGGTGAACAGTTGGATGACGTAGCTAGCTAGCTGAGTTGGTAGAGGATCAAGCGGTAGACCCGATGGTCGACGGTTCGAACCCGGCCGTGGTCGAAATTTTCATTTCCTCTTGAATCATCACCGAGGATGAGTATTCGTCTGTCAAATCACGACTGTTATCTCAGATAGTTCATATGATAATCAGTGAATTATTCACACTGTGTTACCATGCCTCACCTCATTGAATCTCTGAGTCGGGAAACAAATGTTTTCAAAGTAATAATAATCATAATAATAATAATATTGGTAATAATTAGTAACTGATGAGTTTTCATTAATTTTCTTGTTTTTTTAGGTTCGATGATTTAAAGAATCTATTAGATAGTAACAAAGATGCTATGAAGTTGAGTGCAATGAAGCGGATTATAGAAGTAAGTAGTCATTTTCGATAATACCTAACACTATAATATAATCTACAATGCGTTTTTCTTCTTGTTTTTAGATGGTTGCTAGGGGTAAAGATTGTTCTGATCTATTTCCAGCAGTTGTAAAGAATGTAGTTTCAAAAGATAATGAGGTTAGTGTAACACTAGTATTCTACTATATTTTTTACTCTAAGGGGGGGGGGGTATATATCGTAGGCATACTTTGAAATGTTTCACAGACTTAATCTGCATTGCAACTTAATACTTCAAGTATTCATTCAATAAAAAGCATATCATTTGTGATGATATCCTTTCTCAAGGAGTTCAACCAATCAATGTGAACATAGAAACATGCATTACTGCGTAACCGTCCGAGTTGCCACACCTCATCAAGTAGAAAGGTAGTGAAGTGAAGGATGAAGATAAGAGAATGCAGTCAAAAGAAATATAAAGTGTGAGAAGAAAGAAAGGAAAAATGAGAAAATGGTGAGAGTCAGTATAGTGTCGTTAAGATGAGGATAATGTATGTGGGGATACATCTGCGCCACTGACATGGGTTGTGAGCCATATCCCCTGGAGTCTGTCTCTAACCAGTGGTTCCTGTTGTCCCGTGGACCCCAACCACCTAGTGTACATCGTCGTACATGGCTGAAACAAACAGTCAGAGACTTCATACATTGATGCCATGTTTTAGTCTGGCCCCCTCGGTGGGCCTTTTTCCAGCCTGAACCTACTTCATTCAACATTGTGTGACGAGGCAATCGGTGACTGGGCATACGTAGTACGTGTCCCAACCATCTCAATCGATGAAGGTTCATAACCTTGTCTACCGATTTACCTCTTCTCCCTAAAACTCTACACCTAACTTCAGTATTACTCACGTGGTGTGGTGATACCAGGGAATACGGCGTATACTGGGAATTCGATGGTGGTCAAACACTTGAAGCCTTATTATATCTTCGAGTTTCAATGGCCATGTTTCACATCCATACATTAGAAGAGAGCAGACTGCTGTGCAGTACACGCGACCCTTAATAGACAATCGGATATCACGCGGCGCTACAGGTGGCGTAGATTGACAGAAGCCAACTGAGCCTTTTGTATTCGTGCAAAAAATTCATCGGCCACTGAGCCTTTAGGGCTGAACCTACTTCCAAGGTAAGTGAAGTGGTCGACACACTGAACCAATTCACTTTCTATTGTTAGCCGGGGCACCGCTGAAGACCAATCCTGGAGCAACAATTTACATTTGGTGAGAACGCATCTCCAACATTCTCAAATTGCTACTCAAAGTGTTCAGAAGACTCTGCATCTTGTCAGCGTCTTCACTTAACAGGACTATGTCATCTGCAGATTCAAGGTCTAACGAAAATTCACCTGTGATTAGGTCAAGGTGTGGATTAGGCATATACTGAGAAGGCCGAATAGGGACATTACACATCAGGCGAGGCCATCGAGTGGAACCTCGATGGGAAGCGACGAGTTGGGCATCCAAGAGTGACATGAAGGAGATCGTGCAAGGAGGAAATGAAAGCTTGTAGGTTGTCGTGGAGGCAGGTTCAAAAGATTTCAGAGAACATAGTTCATTGGAGACGTACTACTGAAGCCCTATGTTCCATTAGGAACCCAAGGGACAAATAATAATGTAATAATAATCGCGTAATGATGAACACATGTAATGCAAAAGATAAACTCTTACTGTTACCTACTTCAATGTGTATACATGGTCGTTTGCAGTTAGACTGTACGTAAAAGCATATTGTCCAGCTTATTAACGTATCGGTTCAAGTTGGCATATTTCACAGTAGTAGTATATAAAGAATAAGTGGATAGATAGAAGAAAAAAAGTGATATCACAATGGAGAATGTTATATGAGAGGGTAATAATTTAAGGTTTGGAAGGTGTCCACCCTATTCAGGTGCTAGACTACATCTTCTCACATATGTCACACCAACAGTCTTCTTCTTCCCATCGTTCTTCGTTTTCCTCTTCCTATTCTTTTTCTTCTTCCTCTTCTGACTGTTCATGTTCTCCTTCTTATTCTTCTTCCTCTCCCCATTCTCTTTCTGTTTCTTCCACTTTCCTTCTTCTTCTTCCTCTTCGTCTTCCCATTTTACATCTACTTCTTGCCATTCTTCTCCTTTTTCCCCTTCCCATTCTTCTTCTTCCTCTTCATATTCTTCTTCTCCTTCTTCCCATTTTACATTGACTTCTCGCCATTCTTCTCCTTCTTCTTTGCACCCTTCTTCCCCATCCCACTTTTGTTCCTCTTCTCCCCACTCTTTCTTTCCATTCTTCTTCTTCCTCTTCCGACTCTTCATGTTATCCTTCCCATTCTTCTTCATTTTCCTGTTCCTATTCTTCTTCGCACCCTCCTTCTTTCTCCTCCGATTCTTCTTGCTCTCCCCCTCTTCTTCTTCTTCTTCCCATTCTTGATACAGTTGTATACGAGATCCTGCGTTCATTCCGCCTATCTGTTTGACTGTCTTTAATTCATCACCCACCTCTGAACATTGAAGTGGTTCACGTTTATTTTATATTCTGTCAAAATTTTAAAGTTTTTTGTATAATCATTTACTTGTAAACTATTCCAGATAAAACTTATTAACTGACTAATTGTATTTTCTTTTTGTTCCCCCCCCCTCCAAAAAAAACGAAAACCAACAACATAGATACGAAAACTTGTTTATGCCTTTTTAACACATTATGCTGAACAAGAACAAGATATTGCCTTATTGTCTATATCCACCTTTCAAAGAGCAATGAAGGTAAGTAGCAGGTGTATAAAGCTTCAAGTATATTTTGTTCATCTCATGATTGATAATCATATTTTTGTTGAACATAAAAATGAAAAAAAAAATTATTCATTGATCTGTATTTTCAATTGTTCGACTGTGATTTCAGAGCTATTATGGTTACTTCAATTTGTCATCGATCAAGGAGTATCATAGAATAGCTGACTCAATGTGTTAGTACATATATATGCTTGAAATTACTGATTCCTTCTGTCTCTTCTAAATCCTTCTACATACTCTCTAAACTACTTTATAATAATAGTACGTCTCCATTTCACTCTCTTCTCTCCAGTCCTCTGAACCTGCCAATTAGCTTTCAATTCTTCCCCATACCATCTCCTTCATGTCATCCTCACCTCGGACGGCCAACTCGTCGTTTCCTCTATGGATTCCACTCGAGCACTTAGCCTGACGCGTGATATCCTCAGTCGGCCTTCTCAGTGTATGCTTAATCCATCTCCACTTCCTTCCAGTGTATATTTGTTGTGTGATAGGTTCTTACTTCGTTGGTTCATTGGCAGGCCAGAGTTCCTTGTTGCTTATTGTTTCTGGCAATCCATCTGAGCTTCAGTAACAAGTGGGCGTAGGTAGTTGTTGATGAATATCTGTAGTTTATTGGAAATCCCTTTCGTAATGCACCGAGTTTCTGAACCATAAAGAAGCACTGACTTGACTGAATTGGTGTTGAAAATCCGGATGTTGTTCACGATTTGTAATGAGTGCAGTAGATCTCCACACTGACTCCAAATTAGTGAAAGCCTATCTTACTTTTCCGATCGTGGTTTTGACATCCTCGTCTGTGCTTGTGGCTTCGCCTGTAGTTGAAACGATGCTGCCTGCTAAGTAGGTAGGTGAAAGAGATAACTTCCTTTAAGTTTCTCCCGTTCATGCTGATTGGTGCTTGTTGATGTTGTTGTTGGTTGGGTATCATCATCACCTCCATCTTTTCTACATTCACTTGAAGTCCCCTTTTCGCTGCCCTGCCTCTTCTGTTAACTTGTTAGTTCTCGCCTGTAGATCTTCGAGTTTATGCGACATTAGACATAAATTAGCGTTGGCAAAATCGAAATCTTCTAGTGTCTTTTAATCTGTCAAACAGCTTATGCCCATCTTCTCGCTCCTCACTGTTTACTGCATGTTCCAGTCGAATACAATCAGAAAGATCATTGGTGATAGTAGGCAGCCTTGTCTTGCCTGTCAACCTGTCTTCACTTCAAAGGCGTCCTTTCTAGTTTTGTCCTTCTGTTTCTGGGTGTTGAACATGAACCGTGGTCTATCACCAATTTCCTTGAAGGCTTTCAATTTGATTTGGAAGGTTCCTTGCACTAGATAGTGGTCTGAGCCTACATCTGCTCCTCTTCTTGATTTTGTGTCCAGTAGGCTGCGTCTCCACTTTCTGGAGATTGAGATGAAGTCGATCTGGTTTTTAGTGTGTCCATCTGGTGAAGTCCATGTTGCTTTGTAAATATCCTTGTGCTTAAAAAAACTTCCTTCAGTCACCAAGTCATCAAATGCGCAGAAGTCTGCAAACGGTTCTCCGTTCGCATTCGTTTCACCGAGTGCTTCTCGACCCATGATAAGTTCTCTTCCTGTGTTGTCCCCTCCCAGTTTGGCATTCATGTTGCCCATTAGAATTTTGATGTCGCCAATTAGGGGGTGGGGGCAGGGGTATTGTCCAGTACTGATTGCAGTTGTCTATAGAATTCCTCCTCCCTCTCTTAATCTGTATTATTTGTTGGCGCGTAGCATTGAATGACTGCGACTTTCCTTCCTTTTGAGTTTATGCATATATATATATATATATATATATATATACCTGCCTATACGATTGAAGCTAACAATCAGGGACTACATCGACTGGTGTCATGTCGTCATCTCGCTACTCTGAAGCCTCTTCCAATATATATCTGAACCGTTTTAGATGACGAACGTTCACAAGCTCGTTAATCTACTTGCCTGTATTGCTTAGTACTATTTGCCTAACCTCAAGATTCCATCAAACGTGAGCAATCCTATGAAGATACCTTTGATCTAAAACTCTGCAACCGCTTTATGTCTTCTATTTTTTAACGGCCATGTCTTACAGTAATACAACAGGATAGAACGAACTGCAGCACAGTATACTCATCTTTTGAATGATAGTCGTATACCTCACCAATCGACATCAGTTGCTAAATGCCTAACAGGCCTTCTGTATCTCAGTTGAGATTTCGTAAGGAACTAGCCCATCTGGCAGACTGATTTAACTCATCAAGTAATTGAAGTGGTTGACAAATTCCACAAATTCACTTCCTATCATTAAGGTTGGAGTCGTTGCGAAACAATGTTGGAGCATCATCGTATCATCCTACAGGTGGGAAATGCAAACAAAGAATACTCAGATTTCTGCTCAATAGGTTCAGAAGGCTTTGCATTTTGTCAGCGTCATCACCTAGCAGGATAATATCGTGTGCATGTTTCAAGTTAACCAGATGACCCCTAGAGAATAGTTCAATCCCTATAATATCGGAAGTACATAGGGTTATGTCTATTAGTGCGTTTGTGACGAAGTTGAATAGCAACGGTGACAGCGGACATCCATGAAAATATACTCATCCTTTAACAGGAATTTGGATATATCTCAAGTGCCCCCAGATGACAAGATTTCGTCAGCAACCAGCCTATTTGAGCTGGTGCAACATACCAAGTAAGTGAAGTAATCAACATATTCCGCCACTTCACTCTAAAACACTAAACTGGTAGTAGTTGCAGACCAGTCTTACATCTAGCGGGTTTGAAACATATTCGAAACATACTCAGATTTCTGCTCAACACGTTCAGGAGACCCTGCATTTTGTCAGCATCTTCACTCACCAGGACAATATCGTTTGCATAGTTCAAGTCAACCAGATTGCTTCCTGGTAGTAGATCAATTCCCCTGAAGTTAGATGTATCTAAGGTGGTCAATTAGTACATCTATGACGAAGTTAAATAGCAACGGTGATAGTGGACATCCCTGGCGGACACTACCAATTGTCGTCAATTCTGAAGACAACTCTACATAAGCCGTGACGCCGCTGCGTGAGCTCGAGTAGACAGCTTTCTTTAGCCTTATATACTTGCTGGGTACTCTCTTCACAGTTTGACACTGCCACAACACCTCGTGGTCGATAGAGCCAAATTCTGCTTTCAAGTTAAGATATATGGTAAGTGTCGACCACTGGCTGTTAAGTGTGCCTGTGCTCTAGGACCTCGTTCAAGTCTGAAACCTGACTGATTTTCTCGAGTTCACTCTTCTCTAGCTCAGATAAGTCGTCGGATAATTATGGGTTCTAGGGTCTTGAACACAATATCAGTCAAACTTATTTCCCTACGGTTATTACAAGAAAACTTCTCTCCCTTTTTATAGACTAGAATGATCAGAGAATTAAACTGGTCTGATGGCACTACCTTAGATTCCCATTTACTCTTAAGTACCTCCGTCGCTCCAATCACCAATTTCTTGCCTTCATCCTTGAATACGTGAGGAGGGAAGCTGTCAATACAGCTTTTTAACTTTAAGGAGAGTTGGAGGATGGATACCTACGTCCTTTTCAGGTTAAAACTGGATGTTGGTCAAGTGAGGCGTTGCTGTGAATCAAATGAACTGTTCTTCGAAGTGTTCTACTCAACGTTCTATACGCCTATCTTTTTCTTCTTCTTGTCGTTGTCTTTAACAAAGCTAAATAGTTTCAGGGTGTTGCCGAACACTAATGCCTTCTTCAACTCTTTCGCTTTTGCTGCTCACTAATATTCGGGATTGGTCAACTTACTTTACGTTTAAATTGTTTTCGCTCTTCGTTATGGTTATAGCCAGTTGGAATCAGTTTTCTCGCATCATTCAGTTCGGATGAAGTCATGGAAATCCAATTACATTTGGATGTACATTACCAAGCTCTTTTACCGGTGTTTCTGTAGTCGATTTAACATCACACAAGGTCACCTCAGCATGAACATCACCATCATATTCAGATAAATGCTTAGCTATTTCTTCCTTAAATTAGAGCTTGATGTTCTCATCTTCTCATCGTCTGTTTCATGCAGCTAGCAAAAGACAGACATACACGGTCCCATACAGTTAGGCGTTAGGAGTTTAAACTGCTACTCCAGAAAGATCGACACTTCTCCACCGATTCTCTTCATCTATGGCTTATAGTAAGATGATCTATCTGTGTCCATCTTTGGTGTGACGTTGAACGCCATGTGAGACAGTGTTGATGGGTGCGTAGGCGAAGATTACGAATAGCCGTCGCCTAGTTTCACGATCTTTCCTAGTCCTTACAGATCTAGTCAGTCGAACAGCACATAGATGGTTGTTAACTGGGATCCAGTCGAGGAGTACACTTTCTGCTATACTACTCGATGCTATACCTACACCAGGGGTTACCAGAGGTTGGGTAAAATGGGTGAGTCCTAATGTTAGCATCAGAAGGTGAAAGCAAAAGTGGAGAAACAGTCGAGGTCTGTACTTCTGGAAGCGTGCGGGTAGTTGACACTTCCAGACTGCCCACATCGTGGAAGGCTAGTTTTTCTTGACGTACCCGAGTAAGGACGGATAGTATGTGACCTCAGAGCCCATGAAACGTCTGCTTGTGTCCTGTCACTCATGGCACCTAGAGACCGTGGGGCATGGTAAAGTGTGTTATTCTAGGGCCAACTTTTTCTAACAACCTCTTCTGTCTAGAAGGGGAGTATTAGAATAGGACTCTTGATCATCCAAAGGAAAACACCGTACTGCTGTCACACCTCATACAGTTAGCAGCAGTACGACTTCACCCCCAGATCTCCATCATAATGTAGTAATTTACACACTTTAACAGTAACTGCTTTTCGTCTTGCCACTAACCATCAAATATGTTTCTGGAGTAATAGTATGGTGAGCATAACTGATTAGAATGGATGTAAGTAGTATATGTTGAGAGGGTGGCCGAAAGATTTTGCCCAGAGAAACGCAAGAGACAATTTGGGCTTATTAAGAGCAAATCGAAACAGAAGTAGAATAGAAAATGAAGCTTATTATGCAAATGATTATCTTAGTGGAAGGCGTACCATATTTGATGACTAGTGTACAAGATGTCTCCGTCTTGTCGTTTTCTACAATTGGTGTCACTAATTGGGTCATCAGACACACTAAAAATCAGATTGACTTTATCTCAATCTCAAGAAAGTGGAAACGCAGTCAGCCTACTTGACACAAGGTCAAGAAGAGGGGCAGATGTAGGTTCACACCACTCACTGTCTAGTGCAAGGAACCTACCTTCCAAATCAAGATAAAAGCCTTCAAGGAAGCTGGTGATAGACTGAAGTTCAAGTACAACACTCGGAAACTGAAGGATGAAACTACAAAGGAGATCTTCACGGCAGTCATCAAGACAAAATGGGAGATATCGAGCAACATCCGTGAAGAAACCTGTGTGGAAGAACACTGGAAGTCTTTGAAAGAGATGTGGAAAGAAACCTGCACAGCCGTATTAGGAAGGAAAAAGAAAGAAGACAAGGAATGGATCTCGACGGATACCTGGAAGCTGATAGAGGAGAGGAGGATGGTGAAGCAGTAGATAAACCAGTGCAAGGATGCACAACGACAAGAGGAACTGAGCACAATGTATAAAACACTGGACAAAGAAGTGAAGAAGAGTGCACGCAAAGACAAAAGACACTTCTACGAAACACTGGCAAGTGAAGCAGAACAGGCTGGAGGTAAGAGAGACCTGACAACATTGTATCAAATAACCAGGTTACTATCTGGGAGGGAAGAGATCAACACAGATGAAACTAATAAAAGATGACGGAAATTTAATTACGAAAGGAGAGAAACAGTGGGCCGACCACTTCAAGAAGCTCTTGAATCGACCACCCCACCACCTGCACTTCGTCCAGAAATACCACCTGCAGTCGCTGAATTACAAGTGAACATAAATCCTCCAACAAAAATGGAAGTCCTGAACGCCATAAAGCTACTGAAATGCGGGAAAGCAGTAGGACCAGATGGAATACCGCCAGAAGCACTGAGAACAGATGCAGAGACAACAGCAGACATGCTCACACCACTATTGCAGAAGGTGTGGAAGGAAGAGAAGGTACCTGCCTATTGATTGGAAGAAGGGTTACACTGTCAAACTGCCGAAGAAGGGAGACCTCAGTGTTTGCAAGAACTGGCGTGGAATCACTCTCCTGTCCACCCAAGGGACTAATAATAATAATAATAATAATAATAATAATAATGTGTGTCTCCTGTGGAGCTAATTGTATAGGTCGCACAAGGTGCTTATTTTGTAAACGTATCTCAGATTACTATTCTGCTTGGTTATCGAAGGGGAATGTGAATTGATTAACAGTTGAATTCTTGAACATTTAGTCAACTCTGGACATAAAATTAGACCAGAATCCTCTTTCAATGTCATTTATCATATCAGATGGAATAGTTGAAAAAGGGGTACACCTTCAACAGTTGTGCACAATGGAGGCATTAGGAATTCAACTATTCAAACCTGATCTCTCCATTCACAAGAAGTATATTCAGTCTCTTATTTCACTATGGTATTAACATCTTCATTATGATCCTTGTCTTATTCTTCACCTTCCTTACATTTACCTATCAAACTTTGTTAATTTTTTTTTCTCAAATTTATTTCAGGATCCTAATCAGTTAGTACGGGCTTCAGCTCTTCGTGTTCTATCATCAATTCGTATTCCATTAATCCTACCAATTGTAACTTTAGCTATACAAGATGCTTCTAAAGATCTTTCTCCATATGTACGTAAAACTGCAGCTCATGCTGTATTAAAAGTTTATAGGTAAGTTGATAAATTTAAGTATTTTCTCAATATTCAATAAGAATCTCTTCTCTGTTTCGATTTCTTGTTCCTGTTATTGTTATATTTTGAACTCTAACGGTTTCGAACGCTAACGGTTATATATATATATATATATATATATATATATATATATATATAATATATTATTGGTCCATTGGGTTCCTAGTGGAACATAGGGCTTCAGTAGCACGTCTCCAGTGAACTCTGTTCTCTGAAATCTTTTGAACCTGGCTCCACGACAGCCCAGAAGCTCTCATTTCCTCCTCGCACGATCTCCTCCATGCCACCCTCGCCTCGGACACCTAACTCGTCACTTCCCATGGGGATTCCACTCGAGTGCCTGGCCTGACGCGTGATGTCCCCAGTCGGCTTTCCCAGTTCATGCCCAATCCGTCTCCATTCCCTTCCAGTGGATATTTGTTCATCGATAGGTTCTTGGTTGGTTCGTTCCCAGAGCTCCTTGTTGCTTATTCTTTCTGGCAATCCATCTGATCTTCAGTAGCGAGCCAGCGTAGGTGGCAGTTGTTGATGAATGTCTGTAGTTTATTGGAAATCCCTTTCGTAACGCACCAAGTCTCTGAACCATACAGAAGCACTGACTTGACTGACTTTGGTGTTGAAAATCCAGATCTTGTTCCACATGCTGAGTGCAGAAGATCTCCACACTGGTTTCAGGCTAATGAACGCTTGTTTTGCTTTTCCGATTCTGACTGGTTTTGACATCCTCGTCTGTCCCGCCACCTGTAGTTGAAACAGTGCTTCCTAGATAGGTGAAGGATGTTACTTCCTTTAAGTTTCTCCTGTTGATGGTGACTGGAGTTTGTTGTTGGTGGTGGTGTGGTATCTTTATCACCTCTGTCTTCTCTATATTTACTTGAAGTGCCGTCTTCGCTGCCTCGTCTCTTCTGTCAACTTGTTAGTTTTCGCCTGTAGGTCTTCAAGTTTGTGTGACATCAGGCACAAGTCATCGTTGGCGAAATTCAAGTCTTCTAGGTTCTTTTCCGCAGTCCAGCGTATCCCCCTCTTCTCGCTCCCCACTGTTTGTTGCATGATCCAGTCGACGATATATATATATATATATATATATATATATATATATATATATATATATTCCGGAACGAATATATTACACACACCTAGTTGACAGCTAACTTAGTACGCAAGAGCCACTGACTGCAACCCCGGGACGAATAGAAAGAGAGAGAGAGAGAGAGAGGACCAAAGCTGGTAGAAGGGGGAGTGTATCACTCCTAGAATATAACAATAAATCAATCCAAAACACGTGAATAAGTATACCCATGGAAAACGACCTTGTCTGCAATTGGAGAAATTCGCATAGTAAGAGTAAAAGTAAACCAATCATCGAATTACACCAGTTCATTACACCAGAACCTCGCTCCACGTCTGCTTATCAGCTTTCATTTCTTCCTCAAACCACCTCCACATGTCACCCTCACCTCGGACGCCCAACTCGTCGTTTACCATCCGGGTTCCACTTGAGGACCTGGCGTGTGCTGTCTCCAATCGGCCTTCTCCACTTCCTTCCAGTACATATTTGTTGAGTGATAGGTTCTTCCTCCGTTGACAGAGTTACTTGCTTATTCTTTCTCACCATCTCACATTCAGTAACGAGCCAGTGTAGGCAGTTCTTGATGAATGTCTGTAATTTGTTGGAAATCCCTTTCATAACCCTCCAACTCTCTCAACCATCACATACAAGCACTCACTGACTTCACTGAATTCGTGTTGAAAATCCGCATCTTGTTCACGCTTTGTGTTGAGTGCAGAAGATCTCTACACTGATTTCACATCAATGAACTCCTGTCTTGCTGTCTTTCCGATCCTGACTGGCTTTGACGTCCTCATGTGTGCTGCCTGTAGTTGAAACGATGCTGCCTAGGTTGGTGAAAGCGACTACTTCCGTTAGGTTTCTCTCGTTCATGGTGATTTGTGCTTGTTGTTGTTGTTGGTGGTGGCGTTGATTGGGTATCATCATCACCTGTGTCTTCTCTACGTTCATATGAAGTCCCGTCTTCGCTATCTCTTCTGTCAACTTGTTATTTTTTGGCTGTAGATCTAAGAGTTTGTTCCACAAGACATTAGACATAAATCGTCGGTGACATCCAAATCTTCTACTATGGTCTTTTCATCGGTCCAGCCAGCGTATGCCCATCTTCTCGCTTCTTACAGTTGTTTGTTGTATGATCCAGTCGACCATAATCAGGAAGATCATCATCAATGATAGTAGTCGGCAACCTTGTCTTACTCCTGTCTTCGCTTCACTTTCTAAGGCACCAGTGAGCATTCCATTGTGAATCACTTGGCGTATGTCGTCGTCATATAGGTTGTGGTACTAAAGTCGTAGTGTTCAAGCAAATTCCAAATCACTTCTCGTTTGACGCTGTCGAAAACCTTTTCAAAATCAATGAAGTTTAGGTACAGTTACAGTTGACTGTCATTCTATTCTTTGTTCTATGATGATGTGTAGCGTAGCATTGCAATTTTTACCGCTCATGATTTGTTCTTCCTGAATAGATTTTATGTCACCCGAAATCCACCGCTTAACATCTACCAAGATTGATTACCACTATCATCATCTATGAATTCTTAATTTATTTTCGTTTCATGTCATTAATGTTACTTCATATCTTTCTTTTCTCTCTCTGTTTCTCTCTTCCTCTTTCTTACTTTTTTTAGTTTGGATCCGAATGAAAAGGAAACGTTAATCGAAATCATCGATCGTTTATTGAGCGATAAAACTACTGTAGTTATTGGTAGTGCTGTACGCGCTTTCGAAGAAGTTTGTCCTGATCGATTAGATCTAATACACAAGTAAGTGAAAATGCTTCATTTTAACCCCCCCCCCCCGCCACCTCTCTCTGTTTTTCTCCTTTTAATTGGTTATTATTCAACTGAGTAGAATATTATGTATATGTATGAGTATTCGATGACACATACCTTATCCTACTTAACGATCGCACTTCCATTCTCTTCGATGTTCTAGTTGACAGGAGAATCCAGGATGTATTACTTCAAAAAATCATGATATGGATCACTATTGGTCAAATTATATTGTAGGGAAGCGTTTATTTTCCTCAGGAGTTCATATACGCTGTAAATCACTATACCTCACAGTTGAGAGACTTCCCAAGGAAATTTATCATTATTATTTGTCCCTTGGGTTCTTAATGGAACATAGGGCTTCATTAGCACTCCACTATTCCACTCTCTCCTCTACAGTCTTAACAACCTCGCTCTAAGATTACTCATCAGCTTTTATTCATTCCTCAAATGATCTCCTCCTTGTCACCCTCGGACACGCAACTCATCGTTTCCCCTATGGATTCGACTTGAGAGAGTGGCCTGATGCATGATGTCCTCAATCGGCCTTCTCAGTGTATTCTCAATCCATCTCCACTTTCTTCTCCTGTTTATTTGTTGGGTGATAGGTTCTTGCTTCATTGGTTTATTGCCAGCCAGGCAGAGTTCCTTGTTGCTTATTCTTTCTAGCAATCCATCTGATCTTCAGTATCGAGCCGGCGTTGGCAGGTAGAAGTATACATAAAATGTAGTATACTGTAATAGCAAACAACATGATCTTGCAACAGAACTACATTCTTTGATACCTATCGACTCTGAAATCTAGACTATACTGTGAGTTTTTCATATCTACTCACTGATTCGATGGGAGGGAGGGATAAATTAGTGGTAACATCTCCAATGGCAGTGTTAAATTACTATGATTCGGATATTGAAGAGTACATAAGTTTTTCGAAGAGTTCCCATAGTTACAATCTAATGACATTGGCAATCAGCGCATAATACACACTTCAATTGATTCTTCGATACAGTACATACTGTCCTGAACTATTCAGTCGATCACAAACAACCATTCATTTCTGTTAAGAAATGGAATAGTAAGAAGGGAAACATTGAAGCATTGAAAACCAACCATCAAACTTTGTACACCTTCATTCAGCTGTAGGCAGTAATCCACATCTATTTTGTAAGGGCACGGGCTAAACGATGTTATATGAAGTGGGGTTCAAACCTATGACCAATTGGTTGGTAATGTATGAAAGATACTCTCAGTATCCTTGAATTGTCCGAGATTTCAGCCGTCAACTTTACTGTGAGCTATGCATATGTCTGGTTCGAGGTTTTTCGTGGTTTCATCTTGAAGTTTGTATTCATCATCTAGGAAATCATTGAGAAACCTAGGAAGATTAAACACTCTTGTTTTCTCAACAGCAGTAGGGACGTACAACCACGTCAGGGGTCGGACTTATGATCTTCAGGTCTCATAGGATGGGTTCAAGCATTTGAAAGTTAACCGGATAACAATCGACAATCGTGGTTAGTATTCGACGTATATTGCGAATTGATAGCAGTGGAAAACTCTGAACCATTGAACTTTCATCCAGTAATTACAATGGTTAACCTGTTCACCATTACACCTGAAATCATTGCGTAAATAGTAGGTGAGTATTCTCTTAATTATCTATCCATCACTTTTATAAATTGAAGGTCGAAGCTTTTCCATCGATTCATCGCAACTCTGAGAAATCAAGAGAACATGGAAAAACGCGTGGATTTCCACTATGAGATAAAAGACGTCAAATAAACAAATGTCCACGGTAAAAAGAAAAAAAGCATCAAAGAACAGTTATATAGATTCCAACACAATTAAGATAGTAACATCTGAGTGTGTTAAAATGACGAAGTGAAATACGCAATCAGAACTGTGAACAACATTACATTGTTGAAGATAATTCACACTACTGATTATTAGTAAGTAGCACATATATGTGTGCGTAAAAACGTACATGACTAGTTTGCAGAACAGTAAGAGGGAGAATTATGCGTTAACTTATGTAATCGAGTATCATTACTTTTATTATCTTCTTATAGAAATTATCGTAAACTCTGCAGTTTAATTATGGATGTTGATGAATGGGGTCAAGTGATTATACTAACAATGCTTACACGTTATGCTAGAACACAATTTCCAAATCCAGAAGAGGAGAAATATGCAACCTCGGTAAGTATATGTTGAGATAATACAATCAAATGTAAGCTGTCTACTCTTTCGGCTTCAATTACTTGGTCAGTCAACATCAACAATGGTCCTGGCATTACTTGGTAGTGCAATGCGGTCAGAGTTGGCTCAATTCATATCTATTACCATAATGGGACGGGAGGGAAAAAGTTGTAAAATAGAGAAATGACATACAATTAAGGTAGACTAAATCGGTGTAGATCCTTTCAGATCTTAAACAAAGGTGTATTAATGGAAAGAGGATTTGAATATTAAGGTCATTGAAAATGTTCAACGTTTAGAAGACATTAAATTCAGTAAATTCAGTAGTTAACGCAATCCAATTCTCACCTATGAACTAGAAATTGGTGAAGGGGAATTTGTAATGTTGGATAACAGAATAAAACGGAAACAAGATGGTAGGGAGTATAGACGTACTAGTTAGTGTCTACAGAAAACTTTCACATTCAAATCGTTATTTAGACTTCAAATCGTCTCACCCTATGTCAGTTAAAGTTGGCTTAGTAAAGTATCTAAGTAACGGGGCCAAAAAACTTACTGGTGAAACAGAAGATCTAACTCGAGAAACCAGATACATTAAAGACACCTTAATCATCAACAGTTAGCCTCCTAAATTAATTGATAAGCTCCTTACGAATTGTAAGTAAAATATCAGTAACACAGTTATTAATAGTGGTAATAACAGCAACAATAATAGTAGTAATAATGATGTTAATAATATTACCGACAATACTGTGAATAGAGAATTCAAAACCTCGACAGTATTACCATACAAAGAAGGCACTTCAGAAACACTACGTAGAGTTCTCATTAAGGCTGGCTGGGATTAGAGTGGCATTTCTACCTACAAACTCACTTCGAACTAAGCTTTGTAGCTTAAGAAGATCCTATTGACCCAATTAAGCAGAATAACTTAGTTTACCAAATCCCTTGCGAGGTTAAATACATAGATCAAAGTAGTCGACCCGGGTCAATTAGTCTATCCGAACACAAAAACTTAGCTAGGTCAAAATTGGTAGATCCTAGTAAGGTAAGGAATTTAGAAAAAAAACTCAACAGCACCTGTTCCATCATCATCAATATCAACATAGGACCACGCATTACTGCGTAACGTTTCGAGTTGCCACACCTCATATCACTACATCAAGTAGAAAGGTAGTGAGGTGAAGGATGAAGATAAGAGAATGCAGTCAAAAGAAATATAAGGTATGAGAAGAAAGAAAGGAAGAATAAGAAAATGGTGAGAGTCAGTATAGCATCGTTAAGATGAGGATAATGTGTGTGGGGATACATCTGCGCCACTGACATCGGTTCTCAGCGATATCCCCTGGAGTCTGTCTCCAACCACTTGCTTCTCTTGTCCCGTGGACCCCAACCACCTAGTCTACATCGTCGTACATGGCTCAAACCAATCGTCAGAGACTTCATACATTGATGGCATGTTTTAGTCTGGCCCCCTCGGCTGGCCTTTTTCCAGCCTGGACCTACTTCATTCAACATTATGTGACGAGGCAATCGGTAACTAGGTATAAGCACCTGTTCCGTATATATCGAAAATTTTACTACCTATCTCACAAAGAGACGAGGAAATTAAGACTATATAAAGGATATCTCAAAAGTTGTGTAGTTATCTTGATATGATGACTATGGACAATAAATTCTTTGTCCGTTATGTAACCCAGTAAACAATACTGTTCTTTCACTGTGTGATAAATTTAATAAATCAATAAAAGTGGAATTATATTCTACCATAGTGTACAAATTGTACTCATATAACTCTACCCCTGTTACAACTTGTCATAAAAACTTTGAGAATAGAGGACAATAATTCCGTTTTCAAGCTTTCATAGATCGATTGATTCGATAGAGAAGGTTGACGTTTATTGTATGGATAATTCTCGGCCTACTTCTCATACTCCTTCAGAACTACCTTCAAAGGACGGAATCATGTCGAGACAAAAACACTTCATAAAAAAAAAATCGATTCATTTTTTAGGTTACAACACTTTGGACGATATCATCGATCATCATGAAAATGAAGTAATCCGTCCTCAGTTAAACTTCCATTTCAATTTGTACAACCAATAACATGGGATATTTTATCGTCTATTTTAATTGGACAACAGATGACACAAGGAGTGAGGGGAATGGGGAAGTATTTTTTCCTAGGATAAGATTGTTAAGATAATTTTCAATAAGTTTTCTTAATATGGGACTCCTCAGCAGTGCGCACCCACAACCCCACCAGCAGGGATCAAACCCGCGACCTTCAGGTTCCGCGACCAGCGCGTTACCATTGAGCCACTGGGTCAGAATCCAATGCTCCATATTTCCAACTTCTGTTAGCTCACGATATAGCGCAAACCGCCACCCAATGTCATCGTTGAGTATTTGTCCTCACGGCCATCAGGCTTTGACTCCACCGGTCACGACTTGTCATTGGAACTTCGGGAATACTTCTCGAAGCTAGTCACCAACGAGCACTAGTTCAATTAAATTTTGAGGGGGTTGTGGAGATTTGGAAATATTTCAAGTTGTTATTCATCGAAGACTGACATCAGTTGGAGGAACTAGTGCTCGTTGGTAACTAGCTTCGAGAAGTATTCCCGAAGTTCCAATGACAAGTCGTGACCGGTGGAGTCAAAGCCTGATGGCCGTGAGGACAAATACTCAACGATGACATTGGGTGGCGGTTTGCGCTATATCGTGAGCTAACAGAAGTTGGAAATATGGAGCATTGGATTCTGACCCAGTGGCTCAATGGTAACGCGCTGGTCGCGGAACCTGAAGGTCGTGGGTTCGATCCCTGCTGGTGGGGTCGTGGGTGCGCACTGCTGAGGAGTCCCATACTAGGACGAAACAGCTGTCCAGTGCCCCCAGGTTTCCTTCGATCCTCCAACCGATGTCAGTCTTCGATGAATAACAACTTGAAATATTTCCAAATCTCCACAACCCCCTCAAAAGTTTTCTTAAGCCTTTTTTTTTGAAAAAAATTATTTCTTTTTTTACAGATAAATCATGATAATAATCTTACATTTGATGATATTTCATCGATGAGTACTCCTGTAGACGGCAGAGATGTTAATAATGGTGAGGAGACATCAAATCTAATATCATTGTATCTGAAAATTTAACATATTCCATGTCTGAAGCTTTACCCTTACTAGAAACTGATCGAAATATGCTTATCAATGCATCTAGATACCTATTGTATAGTCATAACTCAGCTGTAAGTGTTAAACTGTTTATCTATTTTACTCTACGTATGTTTGTGTATGTGTGTGTGTGTTGTTCACATGTATACACCCTATCTGTAATGTTACTATGGTGAAAATTGATAAGAATATTAGTAGACATTGAAATTGGTTGTGTTGTGTTCTCTGACCTGAATGGTTTTTTTCATGAAGTTTACATTATCTTTCTAGACATCATGGTCATTGTCAGTTATTATTATTATTATTTTCCTCTGGGTTCCTAGTGGAATATAGGGCTTCAGTAGTACGCCTCGATTACACTCTGTTCTCTGCAGTCTTTTGAGCCTCGCTCCACGACTGCTCCACAAGCTTTCATTTCTTCATCATATGATCTCCTCAATGTCACCTCTGCGTTGGACGCCCTACTCGTTGTTTCCACTTTGGATTCCACTCAAGGGAGTAGCCTGACACGTGATATCCCTAATCAGCCTTCTCAGTGTATGCTTAATCCATCTCCACTTCCAGAGAAAGAGAGAGAGAGAGCTCACTTCACACTGAAGTTGTTGCTGATGATGATGTTATCCAAAAAGACAGTGAAAGTTTCACCATTGAACCAGTCAGCTTAAATGACACAACACAACCGAGAAGTGATATATACTTCTTACTACATGACTGAGAAACGTGTACGTTGGAGACAAGCACCATATCATCATCATGATCATCATCCATCTACACACAACCAGGAATTACTGCCTGAAGGTTCGAGTTGCTGCCATACCTCATATCAGTATATGAAGTGAACAAGCGAGAGTGAAGTGGAAGATGAAAAAGAAAAGAAAATTCAGTCGAAAGAAATATAAAGTACTAAAAGAGAGAAAGGAAGAATGAGAAAATGGTGAGAGTCAGTATAGCGTCGTTAAGATGATGATAATGTGTGTGGAGATACATCTGCGCCACTGACATCGGTTCTCAGCCATGTCATCCCCTAGAGTTTGTCTCTGACCACTGACTTCTCTTGTCCCCCAGACCCCAACCAGCTGCCTAGTCTGCGTTGCCCTACATGGCTCAAACCAAAAGTCATGCATTGTTGCCATATTTCAGCCTGGTCACATTGGTCCTTTTTCCAACCCGAACGTACTTCGGACAACATTGTGTGATGAGGCAGACGGTAACTAGGCATATGTAACACATGTCCTAGGCAGCCAGCCATCTCAGTCGATAAAGGTTCACAACCATGTCAACTAACCCACCTCTTCTCTCTCCCCAAAACTCTACACCTTACTTCTGCATTACTCATGTAGTGTGGTGACACTACCGAATACGGCCTACACTACGAAAGCGACGGTGGTGAAACACTTGAAGTCTTCTTATATCTTCCAGTTTCAATGGTCATGTTTCACAGCCATACATTAGAACAGAGCGGACTGCTGTGCAGTACACTCGATCCTTAGTAGACAATCGGATATCACGGTGGTGGTGCCACAGGTAGCGTAAATTGGCGAAAGCCAACCAAGCCTTTTGCATTCGTACAGAGATTTTATTGGTCACGACAAATGTATTTAGTGTCACATTCATACATAATTGAAGTATTGAGTGGAAGGTATACACTTCAAGTGCATTAATATTGTTGAGAAGATACAAACCAACTAATGGTAAAATTTAATTGAGAGATTTATGGGGAATTATTTATTGATTTCACGTTATTGTTCCTCACGAACTGGCAGTAGTTGGAGCGAACTAGTGAAAATCTAGGAGCAGTCAATGAACAGCTACTTCGTCCTAGTACGGATCTCCTCAGCAGTGCGCAGTGGTCCACATTTCCTATTTCTGTCATTTCAAGGTATAGCGGGAGCTCCATGCAACACTGTTGTTGAGTAACTGTCCTCATTGTCTGACTCGGCTGTCCTGACTGCTCATTAGAACTTTGCGGAGCTCATCTCGAAGCAATTCATGACCAGTGGATCCCCACTCTGTGGCTCAATAATAACGTGGTCGCCACCTCACCTGAGGGTCCTTGGTTCGATGCTTCTCGAGGTCATTTGTGTCCTTTGCTGAGGGTGATCTTCGTGCTTTGTTATTTGATGTGCTGATGGTATTTGTGATAAAGTAGGCCGTGGTGCAGTTGTATCTGATTCTAAATTGATAATGGATGTAGATTCAACCATTGGGTCGCGGGTTCGAACCCCGCGGGTTTGAGCAGCCACCAAGTTAAATATCATTAGCCGTCTTACAATAAGTGTAACTAATCACCGATTACACAAGGTTGCTGAGTGTTGCAGCTCAATCTCTTTGGAGTCACAATATAAGTTCCATTGTTGTAACAGTTAAATGCAGCCATATATGACTATTTATAATTTGCACTACCTACTAGTAGTAAAGTGAAATTTATCTTCCAGATATTCATGTATTATGAGTCATTACTGGACCGAATTGATCGGTCTCTATTGGCATATAAGCTCCTGCACGTATGCCTTGATATTCATGATGGATGACGGCTGCCAGTTTCGTCCTACTTGGGTTAGTGATCAACATCAATCACTTGAGGAGACAAGTGCACCCAGCTGACGAGTCTCATATAGGAGGAAACCAACTTCCTAGATTCCACTACTAGCCACTACTAATCATTACTATCTGTAAAAGAGTTAGTGAAAAGTAGTGTCCGCCAAGAATGTCAGCTCCCTCTATTTAGATTCGATTTTATCATAGACGTTCTTATGGAGGTCTCCATCTCGTCATCTGATGGGAGACATTTTGGTAGACGTAGAATTCACAGATGACGTAGACCTATTAGATGAAGACACTGGCAAGATACAGAGTCTTGTGAATGCCTTGAGTGCAAATTTGAGAATGTTTAGAATATATTTCTCGCCACCCAATGCAAATTGTTTTCTCTAGGACTGGTCTTCAACGATACCCTGGCTAACAATAAACAGTGAAATAGTTGTGTGTGTTGAACACTTCACTTACATGGGAAGTCGGACCAGCCTTGGTGTTTTGGTCAGTAGCCGACGAAATCTCTGCGCGCATACATAAGGCTCGTTTTGCTTTTATCAACTTTCGCCATGTGTGACGCCGCTGCGATATTCGATTATCTATTAAGGGTCGAGTGTACTGTGCTGAAGTTCTCTCTGCTCTACCGTATGGTTGTGAAACATGGATATTAAAGTTAGAAGACATGAGAAAGCTTCAGGTGTTTGACCACTGTTGCCTTCGTAGCATAGATCGTGTATCGTGGTATCACTAGGGAAGTAACGCAGGAGTCAAGCGTAGAGGTTTAGGGATTGAGGAAAGGTAGGTCAGTCGATGTGGTTGTGAACTTTGATTGACTGAGATGGGTGGGTGGAACATGTGTTACGTATGTCTAGCCACTGTCTACCTTGTCGCACAATGTTGGCTGAAGTAGGTTCGGGTTGGGAAAAGGCTCGGGGTGGCCAGACTAAAACATGGCATCAATGTATGAAGTCGTTGATTGTTTCTTTGAGCCATGTAGGGGTATGCGGAATGGCTGGTTGAGGTGCGCGGTACAAGAGGAACCAGTGTTTGGAGACTAGGTGATATGGCTCAGAACCCCTCCCCCCACTGAATTTATTAAACTTTACCCATTCTTGTCAGTATTGTATGTTCTTTTCACCCTCAAAGTGCAAGGCAATTTCACAAGATTGATAGGAGCCTATGCTTGCGCTCACCATTGGTGGTAGTCCGTTGGAAGTAGTCGGAAAGTTCGTGTATCTTGGTGGATGTGTAATTACTGGTGAAGGTGTGACTGATGAAATTTCTAACCGCATATTGAAGACCACTGTGACGTAGACCAATCTCGTCCACCTTCGCTGCTGTTGCCACATTAAGTTGACCGTAAAGGTCGGGTTCACAAGGTTTCGGTGCGAGGAGATCTGATCTACACCTATGAAACCTTGCTCCTTCGAGCTGTGGATATATGACGAGTCTGTATGTTTTCGACTATCGTCTTCCACATAGGATTGTTCCTATCTAATGGCAACACCATATAAGTAGGTAGTTGTGAAGTACGGCGGCGTGTGTTTGGGCATGATGGAGGTAGTCATTCAATAAGTGGTCATCTCAAACACCGGTTTCGGTGGCTTAGACATTTGTTACACATGTCATCCAAGTGGCTTCCATACCTTGGGATATAGGGTAGTTGCATCGTGTTAGCATCTTTTGTTACATCATGACTCCCTGGTTGGGGTCCACAAGATTACGCAACTCAGTGACTTGAGACGTTATCAGAGTTGGCTGAGAATCGAAACCGATGGCGATCATGCGTAGCTACCTTCTATCTTCTGCTGCTGAAAAGCAGTGAAAATATTTTATTAGACTGCCTTTCTAATCATTCTATTCGTTTTGTTTCTCTCCATCCTCCATTCCCCATCCCGCTTTCCTAGGTGGTTATGGCAGCTAGTCAACTGTTATTTTATTTGAAGTGTAAGGATGACTATCCATCAGTTGTTCGAGCGCTTATTCGAACTTTGAATTGTAATCGGTATGTTCTTCATGTTGTTAACGTTTCATTTATATCAGTTGTGTTTAACGGTGATCGAAGCGATATTCTGTCTTGTATTTGTTAAGTGAATAGATCAACAAATTCGCTTTAAGCCAGATTATGCTGACTAATGAAGGTAACAATCGAAGAAGATAAATCAGATATCATCCAAAACGTTAACTGCGGTCAACACTACACTGGAAAAAGTGGTCAATCTGTTCCTTTTCGTTTACAAGAACTTCCTTGGGTCATTAAACATCACGATATTCTGTGACTAATGCATAGAACAGTTGCGGTTTTTTTTAGTATACCAAAGGTGTCTTTGTAGCATTGGTGGGAAGGTAATGATGGGGGAGGTGGATCGCAATCTGAGGAACCTTGAGTGCTGACAGAGTTTTGAGGGCGGTTGACACTTCCCGGCTGCCTACGCCGTGGAAGGATATTTCTTCTTAAGGTACCTGAAAGAGATTTGTGTGACCACAGAGCCCATCAGACAGCCACTTGAGGCCTGTCACACTCAGCTTTTTGTGTATGATTATTTTGAACTTTTATATTATTAGGGCCGGATGGTGGAAAGGAAACGGCAAATGAACCAACACCGCCGGCCCGGTAGACCGTGGGGCATGGTGGAGTGTGTTATTTTTGGGGTCGACCTCCCCTAACCCCTACTTCCACTGAGAAGGCAGCATCAGCATGGCACTGCCGGTCATCCAAGGGAAACACCTTACTGCTGTCACACCCCATCTCGCTAGCAGGAGTGCGACCTCGCTCTCAGATACCCATCATAGTGTAGCAATTTACACCACAACGGTGACTTCTTTTTGTCTAACCACTATCCAACAGATTTTTCTGGTATGGTAGGACCTCAAGGGAACAAGTGCACTACCAGTATGATTCGTTGTGTCATTGTGATATGCAAGCCCGACCACCACGCCAAGGTAGCAACTATCGGTCGGGTTTGGTGGAATCACCGTGTTAGCAATGTTAAGATCAGGCGAAGGGCATTAGGTAAAACAGTCAGACACCACCCTGAACGGATGCACTCCTATGCAAGGTTTCTATGTTGGTCCTATCAATCAGTCAGCCAGTCATACACGTAAGCAACTATGGACATGAATCCAACTTTGAAAATGTAGAGATCGTGAGCAAAGAGGATTATCAAACAATATCAGAGAGTTCCTAGAAGCTTTGCAATCAATAGGTGTGTAGATCCAATATTTCAATCAATGTGAAAAATAACAAACATCTACAAAGTTGAAGGTTACATGGGGAAGCTACCAATAGAAAAATCTGTGAAGTCAATGTTGCAACAATCAAATGAAACAATCATTCTGAAATGATGAAGAATATTTGTAGCTCAGGTGGATGGTCTTGGTTGTTCAATCGTGGAGCTTTCATCGTCTTTCTACACAGCAACATCATTACCACTAACTTCACTATGAAGTCAGGTGTCAATATCTTTCCATGACTGATTCACTAACTTACCCTGACCAACTGGTTCGTGTGTGAATGGTTGTCTCCTTTGATTGTTGTGTCATTGTCTGACTGACTGCATAGAGTTTCCTGTTGGCTGCTCCCTCCCCTTGACCTCTAACCTTTCTATCGTTTATCATTTTCTTTATCGGTTGATAGATTGGATCTATGTTTATACATCTGTTGATTGCTGACTGACTGACTAACTGACTGACCTGAATGCCCATGCTCGCAGGAATTCTCTGATGTTGTTTTTATTTCTTCTGTCCAACATATCTAGTATGTGAAAATTCATATCATTTCCATAGTTGTCATCAATGTGCAATGGGCGATGAAATGTGATAACGTTTAATAGCCAATTGGTGTTGATGTAGACGAAGGCGAAGAGGGCAGCAGCTTTGTCCAATGTGTAGTGTTGACTACAGTTATTGCAGTTGATTTTGTAAATGATGTTCAGTTTGTCTTCGCATCGTTTGGTCTGCACAATATGGTTTGAAGAGAATTTGTTGGTTTATGAACCATACCAACTCCAGGTTGTTTCAGTAATCCCGTTATGATCTGTAGTAGGATGGTGCGTTTGTTGATTTCTGTGAATGATTGTGTAGTTGATGATGAACGAGTTGTGCATCACTTGATAAAGTTTACCGCGTAATTGCTCCTATTTAGCACAGACATCAAGTTATTTCCTTCGTTTCATGAAGTTGTTGCACTATAGTGGCAACAATGCATAAAATTAGTTGCGTTCAGACTCTATTCAAAAGAGCGAGAAAACACACTGCGCAGTACAACAACTTCACGAAGAAACGAAGAAATTACCCAATGTCCATCTTAAAGAAGAACGGCTACCTACGTAACTTTATGGGGAGATGTCTATCCCGTACATCGTCGACTACAAAGTCATCAACAGAAATCAACAAACGCATCATCCTACTGTACATGAAGAATATATCACTGTGTTCTCGATCTTTTGAATAGAGTCTGTACGCAACTAATTTTCTGCGTGGTTGAGTTGTTGCTACTATAGTTGGGAAAAAGTGGTCTCCCTCTTCACTTTTGTCTACATGAACACCGATTGGTTATTAAATGTTATGATTTTTCATCGCTCATCGATCATTGCATGTAGATAATTATGGAGATGAATTCAATTTTGATAATGTGAAGATGTTGGACGGAGAGAGGGGTAACACAAAGAATATCATCAGAGAATTCCTAGAAGCTCAGCATTCATGAGAGTCAGTCAGCAATCGATAGATGTAGAGACATAGGTCCTATCTATCAACCAATAAGAAAAATGATAAACGATAGGAAGATCAGAGGTCAAGGTGAGGATCAGCCAACAGGAAAATCTATGGAGTCGGTCAATGACACAACAGTCAAAGGAAACAACCAATCACAGACCATTTCGTCAGGGCGAGTTACTCAATCACTCATGGAAAGATATTGACAGTTCACTTCATACACTGAAGTTAGTGGTAATGATGTCGCTGTCTAGAAAGACAATGACAGCTCTACGACTTAACAACCAAGCCCCTCACAAAACACAATACAGCTAAGACCATCCACTTGAGCTAAAATTATTCTTCATCACTTCTATAAACCGTCTGTTTTGTGAGTGAATGGATATTGTACTGGAAACAGATGAGTGCCCGTGAAATGGATAGATGGCTCCTTCAGAGAATAGGAAGAGAAGTTAAGCACAGAAGTGTCAGCAAATCGAACGTTCTTGTAGAAGACATTCTCACTACAGTTTGCTTAAAACAACAGGAATCTTTTCGATAAGTTAACAACAAAACAAAAAGTTTGCTATCCTGTTTCAAAAAAATTACCGTGCAGTTGAGGAAAGGCTTCGTATATCGATGGATAGAAGCGCATACTTAGACAGTGTTAACATGCCACCTAGAAGTACTGCATCAATATCCGAGTTGCAGCAGTACACATCCAAGGCAGAAAGCATAAGGATGAAGGGTAAGGAAATAACTATGTCAATTATGCCTATTAGATGAAGAGATGTCTGCCATATGTCAGATCTTGGTCTCGCCCTCCTGAAGCCTCTTCCAAACTAAGCACATCGAGGTAAGTAGTGATGGCTCGGCATGCGCAGTACATATCCAAACCATCTCAGTCGACTAACGTTCACAACCTCATCAGTTAACTTGTCTGTTTTACCTAGTACTCTTCGCTTTACTTCAACATTCCTCACACGATGATCCCACAAAACGTGAGCAATCCTACGAACATATCTGTGATCAAAACCCTGTAATCATTTCATATCTCCTACCTTCGACGTCTATGTATCACAGCCATACAGCAGGACAGAACGAACTGCAGAGCAGTATACTCGTCCTTTGACAGATAGACAGATATCTCACCAATCAGCGTCACCACAAACCTTATCAATCTCATTGAACAACTATATGGAGATGCGACATGCCAAGTAATTCACAACACAATGGGAAGCTCAGTGATGTCTTCGAAGTGAAGTGAAGTGAAGACAGGAGTAAGACTAGACAAGGCTGTTTACTGTCACCGATCATCTTCCTGATTGTGGTGGACTGGATCATGCAGCAGACAGTGATGAGCGAGAAGAGGGTGATACACTGGACTGCAGAGAAGAACCTAGAAGATTTGTATTTCGCCGATAACATGTGTCTAATGTCGCACAAACGTGAAGACCTACAGGCGAAAACTAACAAGTTGACAGAAGAGGCAGGGTAGGGCAGGGTAGGGCATCGAAGATGGGACTTCAAGTGGACGTAGAGAAGACAGAGGTGATGATGATACCCAACCAACAGCAACAAGCACCAATCATCATGAACAAGAGAAACCTAAAAGAAGTAGTCTCTTCCACCTACCTAATTAGGAGGCAGCATCGTTTTAACTACAGGCAGCACAGACGAGGACGTTAAAGCCAGGATCGGTAAAGCAATACAGGCGTTCATCAACCTGAAATCACTGTAGAGATCTTCTGCACTCAACATAAAGTTTGAACAACATCCGGATTTTCTACACTAAGTCAGTCAAGTCAGTGCTTGTATATAGTTCCGAGAGTTGGCACGTTACGAAAAGCATTTGCAACAAGCTGCAGATATTCATCAACAACTGCCCCGTGCGCTCACTCCATACTGAAGATCATGTGGATTGCCAGAAAGAATAAGCTAGGAGGAACTCTAGGAACGAACCAACGGAGTAGCAAGGAGTAGAAGGGAGTGGAGATGGATTGGGCATGTACTGAGAAGGCCATTCAGGGACATCACGCACCAGGCACTCGAGTGGAATCCAGTTGGGAAGCGACGAGTTGGGCGTCTGAGGTGATTGTGACATAGAGGAGACGATATGAGGAAGAAATGAGAGCTTCTGGAGAGTCGTGGAGCCAGGTTTAAACGATTGCAGAGAAGAGAGTCGAATGGAGACGTGCTACTGAAGCCCTATATTCCACTAGGAAACCAAGGGATAAATAATGATATCTATTAAAAGTCTTGTCAAGCACAATCATTCTGAGCAATGAATAGATTCTGACACATTGGTTTACCATGTAACCTAGATATTGAGATGATTAATTCACACTACTGACGAATCCTTTACTGGGATGAAATATCTGTTCAGTTGTCTTAACTTCCAGTCATCTTCTATCTTATGTCAGTTGGTGATGAATACAAATCGATAAATAAATCTTAACCATTCCTAAAATTCAATCTTTACTTGATTTTGGCTAACAGAGGAATAGAGAATTCACATTTCGTCTTGTTTAGGACTCATCAGCTGAATGTACCTATGTTTCCCAGTGTGTAGTGTTGTTCCCACTAAGACTCAACTAATGAACATTACTCTGAGAGGTACCGTAATGAATGTTATCTTTATAGAACTTGAAGTCATGGTGTAATGGGCGTTGCTGATAACAATGGATATAAGTAGTATATGTTGAGTGGGTGACAGAAATCGTAGGCAGGTAACAGCAATGGGTAAGCTTTCTACCAAGAGCAACGCAAAAGATAACGCAGGCGTATTCCATTTGATGTTGTTGATAAGAATGTATGAAGAGAGGAACAGAAGAGGAAAGGAAAACATTTTCAAATGACTGGGTTAGTGCAAGGTGTACCGTTCCAATTTTACCCAATAAAACAATCTTTGCGTCGTTGTTTGTCTTCTATCTCTTCAATTGGTGTCCCTGCCTCTAGACCTGATGAAGATTCCATGGCCTGCAGAGTTCGAAAATGTTGACATCTAGGTCTTCCTTAGGGATTTCGAGTCGATCGTGGAGCTGATAGGGGTTCGGGATCTAAAGACTAGGGTCGTGGTACTGGGCATGTTACCTTATCTCTTGTATTGCCCATTGGCAGAAACCTTAGCCATTGCTGGTAATTCCTTATGATTCCTGCCACCCTCACAACATATACTACTTATATCCATTGTTATCAGCAACGCCTAGTACAATGATTGTTTTTTTATCGCAAGTTTTACGATATCGGAACTGAATTGTGTAGAAATTCGCTCCCCCCCCCCCCCTCCCGTACCACTTACTCAATTATTATTATTATATTATTAGTCCCTTGGGTTCCTAGTGGAACATAGGGCTTCAGTAGCACGTCTCCAGTGAATTCTGTTCTCTCAGGTCTTTTGAACCTGGCTCCACGACAGCCCAGAAGCTCTCATTTCCTCCTCGCACAACCTCCTCCATGTCACCCTCAACTAGGACGTCCAACTCGTCGCTTCCCATGGGGATTCCACTCGAATGCCTGGCCTGACGCGTGATGTCCTCAGTCGGCCTTCTCAGTGCATACCCAATCCGTCTCCATTCCCTTCCAGTGGATATTTGTTCATCGATAGGTTCTTAGTTGGTTCGTTCCCAAAGTTCCTCCTTGCTTATTCTTTCTGGCAATCCATCTGATCTTCAGTAGCGAGCCAGCGTAGGTGGCAGTTGTTGATGAATGTCTGTAGTTTATTGGGAATCCCTTTCGTGACGCGCCAAGTCTCTGAACCATACAGAAGCACTGACTTGACTGACGTTGGTGTTGAAAATCCGCATCTTGTTCCACATGCTGAGTGCAGAAGATCTCCACACTGGTTTCAGGCTAATGAATGCCTGTTTTGCTTTTCCGATTCTGACTGGTTTTGACATCCTCGTCTGTGCCGCCACCTGCAGTTGAAATAGTGCTTCCTAGATAAGTGAAGGAGGTTACTTCCTTTAAGTTTCTCCTGTTGATGGTGACTGGAGTTTGTTGTTGTTGTTGGTGCCCCCTCCCCTACCACTTACTCAATGTTGATTCTTATTTTCTTCATATATTTATGTGTTTTTAATTATTTTGTCTTTTCTTTATAGAGAAGTTCAATATATTGTTTTAAGTAATATAGCAAGTTTAACAATTGACCATCGTCATCTCTTTGAACCATATCTTCGTGTATTTTCATTTATTCAACTGATTCATTACAAGTGAAGTTATTAAAATTGGAAATTCTTAGCTCATTAATAAGTGAGACATCAAGTTCTATTATTCTACGTGAATTTCAGGTTAGTTATCTCTATAATTTTATTGTAAATATTAACTGTTCATATTAGCTTTGAAATGAAGTCAATTAACTAATCTTAGCTAGTGAATAAATCATATTCCTTTCAGGGGCTTCAGATACCATGGCCAGGTTAACATCCATTGGTGTAACACCAATCCAATGAAAGTGTTGAGTAACTGTCTTGATGTTTGAATCGGTTGGTCTGACTGATCATGACATCTCATTGGAATTTTGTCAAGCAGTGTTTCTCAAGACTGCCCACTCTCTCTCTATTCTTATTCAATTTTATCATAGAATATTTTTTTTAATGGAGATTTGTCTCTTGTCACCTGATTACACAAACGTTGATCTAATTCTCAGAAGAATTTTTGTTAGACCTAGAATATGCAGATGATATAATCCTCTGAGGTCAAGACATTTTTTCTGAACACCTTGAGTGGTAATTTGAGAATGTTTGGGATGCTTCAGGATTATTGTTCAATGGTGCCCCACGGCCGTTAACAATACAGAGTGAGTATAGTGGTTGAGTGTATCGACTACTTACTTCACTTACCTGGGAAGTCGGATCAGCCCTATCCTACCATGGTGGCTTACTGGCTCATGAAATTTCTGCACGCATACAAAAGATTCGACTGGCTTTTGCCAACTTACACCTCTACAATATCTGATTGTCGATTAAGGGTCGCGTGTACTGCACATGCACAGCAATCTGCTCTGTTTTGCTGTATGGCTGTGAAACATGAGCATTCAAGGTGGAAGACATGAGAAGGCTGGCTTCAGGTGTTTGACCACCACCGCCTTCGTAGGCCGTATTCGGTAATGTCACCACATCACATGAGTAACGCAGAAGTCAGGTGTAGAGTTTTAGGGAGGGAGGAAAGGTAGGTCAGTGGATGCTGTTGTGAACCTTAATCAACTGAGATGGCTGGGTGGTTGGGACATGCGTTACGTATGCGTCGTCACACAATGTAGGCCGAGGCCTGAGGCGGTCGGACTAAAACATGGCATCAATGCATTATGATCACATGGCTGAGAACCGATGTCAGTGGTTCAGATTTATCCGCATACACATTATCCTCATCTTAACGACGGTACACCGAACCTCACCATTTTCTCATTCTTCCTTTCTCTTTTTCAGTACTTTATATTTCTTTTGACTGAATTTTCTTTTCTTTTTCATCTTCCACTTCACTGCTTGTCCATATTCATTTGATGTAATGATTTGAGGTGTAGCGGCAACTCAGAGCGTTACGTAGTAATGCCTGGTCCTATGTTGATGGATTGCGATGATGATTAATCTTCATGAATCACCTATCGAAACGAAACAGCGCCAATTAGCACTAGAGTGGAATTCGATTCGGAGGTTTGTGCGTATAGTTTGACGATAAGGGGGTAGATGTGACATCTGAATTTCCTTGGTTTAACCGCAGTCATAGGTCATATGTACTCATTGTTGAGGACGAATCTGCTGTCCAATGATCCGAAGTTTTCAAGTTTTCTCCAACAAGAGTTAGTAGGTGATGAAGTCAACAGATAAACGCTAAAAAGAAACCTTCAAATTGAAGAATTAAGATGTAAATAATCAACCGATTGTTTAAAAACGGGAGTTATAATACTGTGAAACAGGTTATTCTTAGATAAATTGTATAGTAACTGGTGGAGTTATCGGAGTGATATTTATCGAGTTGTTGGTCATAAATAATAAATCCATCTACTCCTGTGAAGTAGATAGGGTATATTGGCCGTACTCAAAGTTCCCTTTTCAAACGTAATTTTAAGCATATACCAGCATGGTTACTCAAAAGAACACCTTACAGTTCAATTTTTGGAACATCCAGTCGATTATGATCACTTGGAGTAAATGTAAAAAACAACTTCACTGTCGTCTATGGAAGTTTGCCGAAGCCCAATGAAAGTTGCACGCTTGAAACTTCTTCAAACTGTGAAAATCAAGGTAATTTATATTTTGAAGCATAAAATCTGTATTCAGAAAGAATTCATTCAGTCATATAAGTTACAATACATATGACCTATTGTAATGATATGGAGTTATGGAAACGAATGATAGTCGACGGGGTAAGACAATTCAATCCGAATGATTAGCAAAAGGAAATCAGAAGACTGGTAATCAATTGAGTTTCTTGTGTCTAGAGAATTGAAAAGGTTTATTAGTAGAAATGGATCTTATCTATAGAGTTTACAGTAACCTTGAATGATAAGTTATAATTAGTACATTGAAAGAGGCAACAGCCAATCAGAATGCTGGCTGACAGAGAAAAAGGAGAGCAAAGAAAAATATTTGAAATATACAACTGGAATATAAGGAATCTAGGCATTTGTAACACATATATATGAACATCTTAACGTCGATACTAAATGATGATTGAAGGTGAAATGAGAATTGGTACGGTAGTCGGATTCGAACCAGCGACCACAGGGTTTTTGGCTTGATGATGCTGTACCAACTGTGATAGATACGAGGTTCGATTAGCATGTGAATTGGTGATGTAGTACTACCCCTTGATCATATTCACACCGGCTGCCTAGTCAAAACTTTTCATCCCAATCCAAATTTAACTGAATTAGAATGAGAGGTGGGTGGGCATCATATTCGATTATCATTTTGTCTATGTGAGATATCAGTTGTGGTTTGGTAGACTACTGGATGATGATTGAAGGTGAGATGAAAATCTAGACAGCTGCCCTGAGTTTGAACTAGTGACCAGTGGATTTCCGGTCCCATGCTCTACCATGAGGTCTGACTGCTGATTAGATTTTTTCCAAATGCACTTCAATCTTCATCGGGGTTTTTGCCCGACGACTACCATGTGAATTCATGACATGTTACTATGGTTTGATTGTGTTCACACACTGACTGTTGCCTAGTCAGGATTTCTCATCCCAATTCAAATGTAATTGAATTAGAATGAGATTGGAGGGGGGGCGAGGGGGGAGGGAAGCATCATATTGATCATCATTTGACAATCTGAGGTAGACATAGTTTATCAGACTGGTATTGATACTGGGTGATGATTGAAGGTGGAATGAAAATTGGTACGGTGGCCGGATTCGAACCAGTGACCACCGACCAGATGATGCTCTGCCAATAAAATGTTCTGACTAGGCAGCAGTCAGTGTTAATATGATCAGGAGAAAGAAGAATACCTCACAGGTGTATTTTACAACACTTGATGAATTATAACCACCTGGGTTAAATGTGGTAAACAACTTCAGGGTCATCTATAAAGTTCGTGGAAATGCCGTCAAAAGTGTACGCTTAAACCTTTAAACTGCGAAAACCATGACTTCGCCCATCAAGATTTATGTCTCATCTCTTGTCACACAAAGTCGAAGGATTACAGGCAAAAGCTAAAAAGTTGGCAGAAAAGGCAGGGCAGTGAAAATGAGACTTCAAGTGAAGGTAGAGAAGACGGAGGCGATTAAGATACCCAACCAACAACATCAACAACAACAAGCACAAGTCAACATTAATGGGAGAAACCTAAAGGGAGTAGTCTCTTGCACCTACCTACTGAGGAGGCAGCATCTTTTCAACTATAGGTGACAGCACAGTCACAGACGAGGATGTCAAGTCCAGGATCGGAAGAGGAAGACAGACTTCGATTAATTTGAAACCAGTTTAGAGATATACTGCACTCAGCATAAAAGATAAGATTCGGACTTTCAACACTACCAATGTCAGTCAAGTCAGTGCTTCTGTGTGATGGTTCGGAGACTTGGCACATCACATAAAGCAGTTCCAACGAACTACAGACATTCATCAACAGCTGCCGCCTACGCTCACTTGACACTGAAGATTGAGATCAGATGACCAGAAGGAATAATGGACAACGAACTTACTCTGGCAGCGAACCAACCAAGATCTCCTCGCCGAAGAAATATGTAGAAGAGGGTGGAGATGGATTGGGCATACATTGAGTAGACCATTCGTTGACATCACGCCTCAGGCCAGGCACTCGAGTGGGACGCAGTTGGGAAACGGTGAGTTGGGCGTCCGAGGTGATTGTGACATGGAGGAGATCATGTGAGGAGGAAACGAAAGCTTGTGGGCAATCATGGAGCGAGGTTCAAAAGACTGCGGAAGAGAGAGCGCAATGGAGGCGTGCTACTGAACCCAAGGGAAAAATAATAATGATAATAAACAGATGAATACTGATAGAAATAAGAAGTGGAAGAGGGATGAGGTGTACAAAGTTATGCTCAAAGTTTTATCGTGCTGTTGGCTATAGTAATGTAAATGGTGGGAGGAACTTTGTTAGAATACAAAATGTTGGATTTGTGTATGAAGTTGTGGATCGCAATCACCTCTGCAATGGGAAATAAGTAAATCCGTGGCTCATGCATTTAAGTCACTGGAATGTGATGAATAATTTTGAAAACTTTTCTATTGTCCACTTGATGTTCCATGTCAACTAGGTATGAAAATATGAAGCTCTTCATTGTTCTAATTTGTTCTTTACTTAACCATGATGAATATTGCTCAGAAATTTGTTCATGGAACTGTCTCATTATACACCCAGTGTAACTTACTCCACAAGAGCAGTTGAATCGATAAATGCATATAGAGAAGTAGCAGAATCAGACATTTTATCTTTATTTCTCGCACGTAGAATCGTGTGATGGCTCTAGGAGATGAGACATAGCCTATTGGCTAAGAATGCTTTCTGGAAGTCTCTTTTTATGCGTTGTGTAATTATCTGACTAACAATGTCATCCTTGTATTGCAGTTCCTTCTCAGGAACTGTTAGCATTCTTGTCTTGACCTTCGTAACATACATAACCTTAGTTACAAACTTGTCTGGATAGCCATTCCTAGTAAGAAGGTTACGAATGGTAGCGTCGTCTGACAAAATAGCTGTGACGCCGTATGCAAGACATTTCACTAGGTTCTTTTTGTATTAGAGGGGTAGGACACTCAAGAGGTGCGTGTACTAACCTGTAGATGTTGGCTTTCTATATATACTTCCTTTCAAAGTTCCA